TGTGATAACTCATCTGACAATGCAGGCAGGTGCAGCTGCCCTTGCGTGCCGCAGGCCCATGCTGCCCCTGCCTGCCCCCAGGCCGCCCCTCGACTCACCTCTGAGCTTCATTTCTCTGTACAGCCGGCTGGCCTCATACGCCTGGCTCACGCCCTGCGTGTGCGTGTCGTGTGGGGCAGGGGTGGGTGGGTGGGTCCGGCTGAGGTGAGGTGAGAGGATCGTGTTGAAGGGGCTGTGGTCAAAAACGCTATGCTCACCAGAGCTCACGCCGACAGCCTCTCTCCACTGGCAACAGGCCGTCCTCGGCTATCCTCGCCCTGGTCGACGCGTGCCAGACGCACCCTCCCTACCACGCCCGCCCCTGCGGCCGCGGGCGGGGGCGCACCTGCGCCACCGCCAGCAGCTCGGGCCCGCCGCCGCCCGCCTCCAGGGCCGTGAATATGAACTCAAAGCGCTGGGTCCCGTGGCGCGTCAAGAGGTACAGCGCCGACACGTTGCCTGCGGGTCAGGGTACGCATGGACGAGGGCGTGGCTGTTGGCAAAACCGCGCGTGTAGGGGCAGCTGCTGATGCGGTAGTGCTCAAGGCGCTGAGTTTGCTTTGGAGGGGGGTGCTTTGGTCTGCGCCTCGGGCTCTGCATCCTGTTGTCGCCGGCTGCGTGCAGGGCTGCACGCTGCCACCTCGCTGCATCCCAAATATCTCTATCTCTGCAGCCCGCCCGGCCAGCCAGGTGCCGCGGCGCCCACCCCTCAGCCGCGACGCCGCCGGCTTGACCGTGATCTGCGTGATGCAGTCCAGCCCCACGCTGATGCTGGTGCGGCGGCTGCGGGTGCACACCCACATCAGCCGCAGGTTGGTGAAAGTCAGCTCCCCCGGCTCCCCATTGTTTCCCTTGGTGTCCTCCACGCAGTCCTTAGGGGCGCGCCGGCATGGGATGCGGTGCCGCGTAGCATGGTTGCGAGGCAGCGAGGTGGAGGGCGACCACGGCTGTCGAGGGGCCCGCGGCCTGTGGCGCTGCTGCGCGCGGTCGGGGCGCTCAGGCGCGGGGCGTCGGCCGAGCGGCCGGCCGCCGGCCGCAGCAAGAGACGGCTGCAGTCTCCCCAGGCGCCGGCGCCCCCGGCGCGGTGCAGCTTGCGCGCTCGTCCCTCTCCCCGCGGCAGTGCGCCGGCCGCCACCCTGTCCTGCCTTTCAGCACCCCAAACAACAGGCGCCGCTTGCTGCACTGCGCACCAGGTAATCCAGCACCTCCTCTCCCCTGCGGCACTGCAGCTCGGCCGGCCCCAGGTCAAACCTCACTTCCCGGTCTTGCCACACCTCCGGCTCAGCGCGGCGCCCAAACAGCGACTCGGCGAGCGACGGCGCGCGCTCCATGGCTGCGGAGCCGCCACGGCTCTGCGCAGCGACAGCTGGGTGGCTTGCACGGGCGCGGAGCCGGACTAGGGCGGAGACGGCTGCTGTCGCGGTCGCACGGCGCCCAGGCGCGCTGACTCGTGTGTTGACCGCTGCGATGTCTATAGATGTCAATACGTGGTGTGCGTCACAAGCGATGTGTCCAGATCACAGCCACTAGGTTTCGGGCAGATGTGAGGCTCTTTGCAAGGCACAGGATCGCAGAGTGGACACAGGGCAGATCACTTCTCCAAGTGCCAATCGATCCTGAAGTTGCATTCATATATGCGCTTTTGAAAGAAAGATACATATAGCAAATCCAACCATCAGGCAAAAGACGCATGCATTCTGCAAAAGACCGACGCACCTGACATCAGCCGCGACTGGATTCAATCTCAGCGTGATCGCCGTGAATTGCGAGCGTGTAAGGCAGCCGACGCTGCCAAGAGGATCATTCGTGAGCTGTCCAGGCAGTCAAGCAACAATGCGAACGCGCAGGCTCTCCATCGCCGTAAGGCAGTGGTCATCTGAGGAGGGCATACACACATGGAAGTACTGCAAGCAGCATATCCTGCAGGTGCAGACGGGATGACCCGGGTGCACGCGCAATTGGCAGCGCTGATGCTCCCCTCTGTGCTGTCGGTCGATGCGCTTGCGGTTGGCGCCGAGTCCCCTGGTCCATGACGGGCACGGCTTTTGAATAAGCATGTCACCACATGCACGTCATACATGCTAATCTTGGATCGTGAGCCCGCGCAGCCACCGCGCTCGGCGCAAGCTCCCCGCGGCTCATCCAACCTGCCTGCTGCCGCCGGCCCACAACCCCCGCCCCCATGTTTCCCTCTTTTCCTC